CAGCATCGTTATCATCATCAGCAGCATCATCATCATCAGCATCACCATCATCATCATCATCATCAGCATCAGCATCAGCATCATCATCATCATCATCATCATCATCATCATCATCATCATCATCATCATCATCATCATCGCGGGACACCGCGGGACACCGGCGGGACACCGCGGGGCACAGCGGGACACCGCGGGACACCGCGGGACACCGGCGGGACACCGCGGGCCACCGGCCGCCCAGAAGGGAATCATTTGGTCCGGCCGCGCCTCAGCCACACGGGACTTTCGCGGGACACCGGCGGGACACCGCGGGCCACCGGCCGCCCGGAAGGGAGACATTTGGTCCGGCCGCGCCTCAGCCACAGGAGACTTTTTCTCGCCCGCCCACGCAGCTTCGCCTCGCCCGCCCGCACGGCACGCACGAACACGAAACCGAAATCGATTTCCCGGTAGGGGGGCTCTCCGTTCCACTTCGATCTCACCCCCTCACCTCCGATACATATATATATATATGGATACTAAATTTACGTGTGTGTACATATATACACATAGAGAGAGGGAGAGCGAGAGAGAGAGAGAGAGGTCGCGCCGCTGGATGCCCCAGAAGGGAGGAGGGGCGAACCCCCACCCCCTCCCCCCCTTCCCTGGTCCGTCGTCGGCGGAGGACCCGCCTCCCCCCCTCCCCCCTCTTTCCCGGTCCGTCGTCCCGGATAGCCCCTCCCCCCTCCCCCTTTCAAAAAGGAGGAAAGACTGGTCTACTCTGTAAGAACGGTTTTTTGAAGGCAGATCTGCCTTCAAAAAAACGGTTTTTTGAAGGCAGATCTGCCTTCGAAAAACCGTTCTTACAGAGTAGACCAGTCTTTCCTCCTTGCAGGGGGGCGCGGTGTGAACCCCAGAACCCCACCCCCCTTTGGACTCGGAAGCAGGACTCCAAAACCCTGACCCCGACACCCCAGCCCTGACGTCCAAACCCTGCCACGTGAACCCTGACCCTGACCCCTACCCTGATCCCTGACCCCGATAACTCTAACCCCTACCCATAACTCCTCACCCTAACCCTGACCCCTAACCCTAACCCTAACCGTAAACCTGACCCCGACGCTAGCCCTAAACGTACCCCCAAACCCTAAACCCTAACCCCTACCCTATACCCTAAACCCTAACACCCCTACTCTAACCCTTATTCCTGATCCCTAACCCGGACCCCTAACCCGAACCCCAACCCCTAACCCTAAGCCCTAACTCCAACCCTACCATAACCCTAACCTCTAACCCCAAAAACCCGAGCCCTAAACCATAACCCCGACCCCTAACCCGAAACCCTAACCTTAACCCCTAACCCTAGCCCTAAAGCCTAAGCCGTAACCCTGCACCCTAACCCGAACCCTACCCTCTAACCGTAACCCCTAACCCTAAACCATAAACCCGAACCTGAATTACTGTTTCCTACTAGATACACCCCCTCCCCCAGGCGACCGGCAGCCAACCAGGAACAATGAGGACCCCCCCAACCATCCTTGGCAAAAAACAATACGAACACACACTCTGCCTCCCAATTCGGAGCATGCGCAACCAACCCGATGCGGCCCCACCACCCACCATCCATGTCAACAAAAAAACAAAGTACCCCTTCGGTTAAAGTCTGGAGTCATGTTCGTGAGGCCCGCGAGCACTTTGTATTGCTTTTTGACAGGGACGGCAGGGGTGTCAGCATGTTGCGTGCTGTGCGCAGGGCCACCATCCCTTACACAAAAACAATACACAATGCACCTCGCGGCTAAATCTGGATCATGCGCGGCCACCCCGCGATCACTCTCAAGTGGTTTTTGACAGGGACGGCGGGAGTGGTGGCGTATGGCCTGCTGTGCGCAGGCCCACGAGACACAATGATGGGCATCGGTTTTCGACAAGGGTGGTTGGTGCCGGCATGTTTACCGATGTGTGCTGTCACGTGCGCAGGCGCACCTGGCAGACGCAGAGGCGCCTCTGGCGCACCAGGCGTGCCTGGCACGCTCGGGTCCCAAGGGTGCCTGGCGCGCGTGGCGCGCCTGTCACGCGTGGCGCACCTCGCCCCAGCGTCGCGCACATGGGCTCGGTGTTGGTTCCCAGTAGCTGCCCATCCAGAGTCGACCGCTGAACATGCTGAGGCTCTGGTGTCACTTATGTGTTGGGAGGGCGGGTGGGAGTGAGCTAGACGGCTTGATATCTAGGAGGGCATTTTGGACTCCTACCCGAACCCCTACCCCAACCCCGCAACCCCTAACCCCAACCCCTAATCCTAACCCCTAAGCCTAACCCTAGCCCCGACCCGGACCCCTGATCCGAATCCCATAACCCTAACCCTAATGCCTAAACCCTACACCCTATCCCGAACCCCAAACCCTGACCCTAACAGAAACCCTACCCTAACCCCTCACCCTAACCCTGAACCCTAACCCTAACTCCTGCCCTAACCCCTAAACTTAACCTAAACCCTAAACCCTGACCCTAACCCTAACCCTAAACCCTATTCCAAACCCCCACCACTGCCCTGACACTAACCCCCAACCCCTAATCCCAACCCCTAACCCGAACCCTAATCCTGACCCTAACCCTACCCTAACTCCTAACCACTAGCCCCTTAACCCTAACCCTAACCCTGACTCCGAACCCCTAACCCGAACCCTCACCCTAAACCCAAACCCAAAACCAAACCCTGAATACTAACCCTAACAGTAACCCTGCCCTGACCCCTGAAACTAACTAACCCTACTTCTACCCCCCCACACACCCAGAACGTAACACCCGAACACTTACACCCGCACCCTAAGACCTTAACCCTAGCACCCCAACCCTACCACCCTGTGCCCTAACCCGACCACCCTGGCCCCAGCACCTACCCGAACAACCAAACCCTACCGCACAGGCGCTCCGGCGCGGGGAGGGCCTCCCCTCCTGACCCCCCTGTCCTGCGCAAAAGGGGGGGAGGGGCGGGGGTCCGACCACGCCCCCCCCCCCCCTGAAGGGGGGGAGGTAGGGGGGGGTTCTGCTAGCACGCCCCCCCTTTTCAATTACGAGGGCATCCACTGGCGCTCTTTCATCTACACATATAGATATATACATATGCAAGTGCAGGAGCTTGACGAGACAGATGTGGGGGTATCCATGGACCCGCTTGTGGCACCTGGCGTGCGTCTGCGGGTCCTTCAAAGATGGCATTGCGCAACAAGAGCGCCCCGCAAACGAGCCATGGCAGCAGACTTGACCCACGCGCACGGGCATCGACAAATCAAAGGAGGGGGGCGACAGGGGCGGCAAGCACTCTTGTCCGTGACCGATGTCCCTCTGGCCCGCTCCCGCCTCCTTCCTGTCCCCCGTCCTGTCGTATCCCCCCCAGAAGAAAGAACACGATGCACAGACACCGATCCTGCCAGGCGCACCCTGAGCCCAGGATTGGCCTGGACAGGGTCGGCGCACGCCCACAGATCTCTTCGCCCGATCTCCATTCTCGGTATGTCCCTCCCTCGTCCCTTCCCGCTCTCCAACGCACCCCTCCCCCTCTCCCGTTCTCTGGCCCCTTCTCCATCTATTCCCTCTTCTCTTTTGCCTCTCTGAACCTTACACCTCCTCCCGTGCCCCCTTTCCACCGTACTGACTCCCCAGAAGGTGAGCGCCAAATGAAAGCGCATCGCGAGCATATACACTTCAAGCCGTTGTCTGCTGGAAGCTCTGATCAAGGCATTGCAAATCAAGCACGTCGACGCGAAAATGCTACAGGTCGTTCAACGACGCGAAAGCATGGGGTACCAACCATTGCAACACTCTGCTCACATATGCCGTGTTTGCTGGCTTACATAAGTCCATTCGGAATCATGCGCCCAACACAAGAGAAAAGTCACAGCGTAAAGCGTCCTCTGGGAATCGGGGACTATCCTCTCACCCTCTGTTCTGTTATTCCCCGGTTCTATGCGATGTGGTGCCAATGCTCCCGTGATTAACTGTTATGTCGTCCGCGGCTTCTTGAATGGTCTGCCCGAGAGTCGGGGTGTGATGAGCCTCAGACCTGCAAGACCCCGCCTACGCCCACGCATCTACGCTTCCTTAAACAGGACAGCTCGGTAGCACAGTCATCATGATCCTTTCCGGATCGCAATCGAAAAAACTCAACCTGTTACCATCGATTCCGATTCCAACTCCGGCTCCCTAGAAGAATAACAAACGGCATAAATATTAACTTTCAGGCGCTCCGTACGAATTTCTTGGATCCGAGCGCGCCAGGGGCGGCGCCAGAGGCGCCGCCAGGGGACCCAGCGCGAATCCGAGAAACCCGCGCGGAGCGCCGCGAGTTTATGTTGATGCCTTTTTCTTACTCGAGACTACGGCTCTCCCCCTTGTCCCGTTCCCATCCTCGAGAGGCCTCCTAGATGGTCTCTGACTAGATGGGGTCGGAGAATCGCGCCGCATCGCCGATGCATCGGCGATGCATCGGCGATGCACTGGCAACGTCGGCGATGCACTGGCGACGTCGGTGTGGAGAAACTCGGGCTCCACATCGAGCCGCACCGCCGATGCATCGGCGATGCGGCGCGATCCTCCGACCCCATCTACTCCGAACCCATCTAGGAGGCCTAGAATCTCGGCTGCACCCGCTTGCGCTCTCCCGCGAGGGGGAGGGGGGGGAGGAGGCAGAAGAGGAGGAGGAGGAGGCGGAGAAGGCGGAGGAGGAGGAGGTGGAGGAGGAGGCGGAGGTGGAGGAGGAGGAGGTGGAAGAGGAGGAGGCGGAGGAGGAGGAGGAGGAGGAGGTGGAAGAGGAGAAGGTGGAATAGGAGTAGGGGAAGGAGGAGGAGGCGGAGGAGGAGGAGGAGGAGGTCGAAGAGGAGGTGGAAGAGGAGGAGGAGGAGGAGGAGAAGGAGGAGGACGAGGAGGAGAAGGAGGAGGAGGAGGAGGCGATCCGCCGACCCCTTCTAGGAGGCCTAAATCCTCTCCCTCCCTCCTCGTCCAGTCCGCTTCCCGGCCGGGGCCTCGGGGGCGGGCCCATGGGCAGACTCTGCTCCTGCCCCTCGTCGTGGCGCTGCAGCGCGTGCACGCGCGCGAACCTCTGCGGGCTCTCGTCCCTTGGCGGGGCGAGGGGGGGCGGACGCGAGGCAAGGACGAGGAATGGGAGTTCGGTGGCAACTCACGGGAGCCTCCCATACCATATTGTGGGAGCTTGCGAATCGACGCCCATCGACGCTAAATCGACGCCCATCGACGCCAAATCGACGCTGATCGACGCTAACCGACGTTGAACTCGGCGCATCTCATCGATTCCCAGACGCTAATCGACGATAGTCGATACTAGAGACGGAATTAAGAGGGTCGGAGGTTGGGGGGTGAGTCCGACGTGAAACGGAGACCCCCCCCCTACCGGGAAATCGATTTCGGTTTCGGGTTCGTGTCGTGCGTGCCGTGCGTGCGTGCGGGCGAGGCGAAGCTGCGTGGGCGGGCGAAAGGAAATCCTCCTGTGGCTGGGCGGCGGCTGGACCAAATGTTTCTCCTCCGGCGGCCGGTGGCCCGCGGTGTCCCGCCGGTGTCCCGCTGGTGTCCCGAAATCCTCCTGTGGCTGGGCCGCGACCGGACCAAATGTTTCTCCTCCGGCGGCCAGTGGCCCGCGGTGTCCCGCCGGTGTCCCGCTGGTGTCCCGAAATCCTCCTGTGGCTGGGCCGCGACCGGACCAAATGATGCTCCTCCCGTCAAACAGTGCCCCGCGGTGTCCCGCTGGTGTCCCGCCGTGGCTGCGGCGAGATATCCAATTCAAGTCTACATGCAAACCGACATGCAAACCGAAGAACACATCGAAATGCAAATCGGCATGCACATCCAAATGCAAATCGTAAGGCGCCGTGGGCTGCGTACTTAAAAATCGACGCCTGTGGCGAGCTTTCCAATGCAAGTCGAAATGCAAATCGAGATGCAGATCGAAACGCAAATCGACATGCACATCGACATGTCAACATGCAAATCGAGATGCAGATCGAAAAGCAAATCGACATGCACATCGATATGCGCACCACAGGCATCGTCAGAACAACAGTCACCACTGTTGCCCATTGCTGCCCCCCCCAACCTCCTTATCATCCGCAGGGTAGTCGTATAGGTATACAAGGCTCCCATGATTTGCTACCGAAGAGGCGGGAGCAGGGAGGGCAGGAAGAAACAGCCACTCCGCAGAAGCCCAGCTCGCCCATCGGCCAAGCAGGTCCCCGAGGCCCGGAGACCAGCCCAGCGGAAGGGCCGCGCACGCCCAGGCTGGCGACGCCAAGGGCTGAACCTCGCGGCCTCGACTCGCGCTGACCGCGGTACGTAAGCAGCGGCGGCGGCGGCCGCGGTCCAATGCGGCGGCGAGGACGACTCGCGACAGCCAGCTTGTCCACCGCCCCGCCTCACGATGCCGCTGCCGCAGCGCGACAGCCGCCCGTCGTTGGAGCCCTTGGAGCTGGCGCTGCCTGCCGCGCCCGGCCCTGCCCCTCTCGTGCCGCCGCCGCTGCTGCCGCTGCTGCCGCTGCTGCCGCTGCCACTCCTCCTCCTCCTGCTCTGGCTGCTGCCCCTCCTCCCTCCCTCCTCCTCCTCCTCCTCCTCCTCCTCCTCCTCCTCCTCCTCCTCCTCCTCCTCCTCATCATCATCATCATCATCATCATCCATCATCATCATCATCATCCTCCTCCTCCTCCTCCTCCTCCTCCTCATCATCATCATCATCATCACCACCACCATCATCATCATCATCATCATCAGCATCATCATCATCATCATCATCATCATCATCAAACATCATCATCAGCATCATCATCAGTATCAACATCGCCATCCGCGTCTCGTTGTTCTTCTTATTAGTACCAGTATTGCTATCCTTCTCATTCGTGGTATTAGTGCTGATGTTATTATTACTAGTATTAGTATTAGTACTGATGTTATTATTACTATTAGTATTATATGTTTCGTTATCCTCCTCCTCTTCGCCGTCCTCCTCCTCCTCCTCCTCCTCCTCCTCCTCCTCCTTCTCCTCATCCTATTCCTCCTCCTCCTCCTCCTCCTCCTCCTCCTCCTCCTCCTCCTCCTCCTCCTCCTTCCTCCACTCCCACTCCTCCGGCGCAAGCCCTGGCGCGCTCCGCGCGCTATGGAGGGGGGCCCAGCGCGGATGCAAGAAATCCGCGCCGTGCGCCAACAGTTTATGTTTACGGCGCTTGTTCTTCGAACAAAACGAATGGACGTCCTGGGGTCTCAGGGCTGGGCTTCTTGGGGAAGGTCTCTTATGGTCGGGCCCCCTACTGTTAGGTCGGGCGTGTCCCCCCTGCTGGCGGATTTTGGGCGAAAAAAAAACTAAAACATGTTCTCAACTATAATCGAACAATCATCCTTTTTGACTATGTTTAAATACTCTTCATGTGGAGGGACACGCCCGATTTAGCCCTACTGCATGGAGGGAGGAAAAATTATCCTGGCGAAGGACCCAACCATATGCAGTTGTGAGTATCGCAATTGTGAATATCTTCTTCGGTGGCGCTCCCTATGGGGCCACGAACCGCATGAGGGGTGTGCCGAAATGTGGCGGGGTACACAACGCAAAGGAATACGATAGATCTGATTACGAGAGAAAGAACGCGGGTGAGTCAGAGCGCGAGGGAATCTGAGTATGAATGGGTCTGCGCGCGAGTGAATATATTTGCATGAATGCGATCATGGAACCGCCTAGTGTAAGTGTCGAGCATGCCTGTCCGAACACACGTGACACTGGGCGTGGCCGCCGCAGGCAGCTTCCGCGGGAACCCCGACGGCAGCGTCCGCACGTCGCGACGCCCATGTCGGCACGCCTCTTGCGAGGATCGCGCCCGCTTTCGGCTCTTCTGTTCCTTCCTCTTTGCCCGCGCACTCCAAAATCCAAGGCTGCGGGCGCAGCGCAGCGCGGAGTCCCCGCGACGCGCGCTGGTCGCCCCGGGCGGGGTCCCAGCGACGCGCGCGGGTCGTCCGCTGCGCGAAGCAGAGAGAGCTGACTAGCTAACTGGCTGGCTGATAGCGGGCAAGTCTCTGACCGCTGGGCAGAGCGACGACGGGCGAACGAGGCGCCGGGCCCCCCGCAGCACGGAGTTCCCGCGACGCGCGCTGGTCGCCCCGAGAGGGTCCCAGCGACGCGCGCGGGTCGTCCGCGGCGCGAGGCCAAACAATTAGTCGGGCAGTCGAGAGAAGGCGCGGCTCGGGGGAGACGCTCCTCAGGTCAGGCCTCGCGGATGAACTCGGTGAAGCCGAGCTCCCTGGCGAGGGCCGTCGCTTCCCTCCTGCACCGCTTCGTGCGCGCCGCAAACTGCTCCAGCTGCTTCCGCAAGCCCTGCGGCGGCCCTGCCAGGAAGAACTCGATGCGCGGCGCCCGCATGAGCAGGAGGTCCTCGTGGCGCGTGGCGCGCGAGAGCAGCACGTAGAGCTCCAGCCACCAGTCGTCGTCCTCCTTCTTGCCGTTCCCTACCTCGTGGCGGCCGCAATCCAGGATCACGCCTGGGCGACGTCGACCGAGGGAGCAGCGCGCCGGGCAGCCGACGGCCCAGGGCGAGAGTCCACAGGACCGAGAGATGGTCTGGCCGCGGACTGCTCGCGCCCCGGAGGTCTGGCCGCCCCCGGAGCGCCGTTCCCCCGCCCCGTCGCCTTCGCGCATGGTGCGCCCCTGGCACGCCACCGTGGTGATGACCCTGCCGTGCGAGAAATGCGGGGGGTGTGCCGAAATGGGTGGGGGTGACGCATGCGGGCGGCGGCACTGAGGCCTTCGGTGGAGCTCCCTATGGAGCCACGAAACGTGTGAGGGGTGTGCCGAAATGGGTGTGGGTGACGCATGCGGCCGCGGGCACTGGGGCCTTCGGTGGAGCTCCCTATGGAGCCACGAAACGTGTGAGGGGTGTGCCGAAATGGGTGTGGGGGACGCATGCGGCCGCGGGCACTGGGGCCTTCGGTGGAGCTCCCTATGGAGCCACGAAACGTGTGAGGGGTGTGCCGAAATGGGTGTGGGGGACGCATGCGGCCGCGGGCACTGGGGCCTTCGGTGGAGCTCCCTATGGAGCCACGAAACGTGTGAGGGGTGTGCCGAAATGGGTGTGGGGGACGCATGCGGCCGCGGGCACTGGGGCCTTCGGTGGAGCTCCCTATGGAGCCACGAAACGTGTGAGGGGTGTGCCGAAATGGGTGTGGGGGACGCATGCGGCCGCGGGCACTGGGGCCTTCGGTGGAGCTCCCTATGGAGCCACGAAACGTGTGAGGGGTGTGCCGAAATGGGTGTGGGGGACGCATGCGGCCGCGGGCACTGGGGCCTTCGGTGGAGCTCCCTATGGAGCCACGAAACGTGTGAGGGGTGTGCCGAAATGGGTGTGGGGGACGCATGCGGCCGCGGGCACTGGGGCCTTCGGTGGAGCTCCCTATGGAGCCACGAAACGTGTGAGGGGTGTGCCGAAATGGGTGTGGGGGACGCATGCGGCCGCGGGCACTGGGGCCTTCGGTGGAGCTCCCTATGGAGCCACGAAACGTGTGAGGGGTGTGCCGAAATGGGTGTGGGGGACGCATGCGGCCGCGGGCACTGGGGCCTTCGGTGGAGCTCCCTATGGAGCCACGAAACGTGTGAGGGGTGTGCCGAAATGGGTGTGGGGGACGCATGCGGCCGCGGGCACTGGGGCCTTCGGTGGAGCTCCCTATGGAGCCACGAAACGTGTGAGGGGTGTGCCGAAATGGGTGTGGGGGACGCATGCGGCCGCGGGCACTGGGGCCTTCGGTGGAGCTCCCTATGGAGCCACGAAACGTGTGAGGGGTGTGCCGAAATGGGTGTGGGGGACGCATGCGGCCGCGGGCACTGGGGCCTTCGGTGGAGCTCCCTATGGAGCCACGAAACGTGTGAGGGGTGTGCCGAAATGGGTGTGGGGGACGCATGCGGCCGCGGGCACTGGGGCCTTCGGTGGAGCTCCCTATGGAGCCACGAAACGTGTGAGGGGTGTGCCGAAATGGGTGTGGGGGACGCATGCGGCCGCGGGCACTGGGGCCTTCGGTGGAGCTCCCTATGGAGCCACGAAACGTGTGAGGGGTGTGCCGAAATGGGTGTGGGGGACGCATGCGGCCGCGGGCACTGGGGCCTTCGGTGGAGCTCCTATGGAGCCACGAAACGTGTGAGGGGTGTGCCAAATGGGTGTTGATGATGATGATGATGATGATGATGATGATGATGATGATGATGATGATGATGATGATGATGATGATGATGATGATGATGATGATGATGATGATGATGGGAGGGGGGAGGAGGCAGCGGGAGGAAGGAAGGAAGGAAGGAAGGAAGGAGAACGCGGGGCACCGTCTCTTCAAAACGAGGACCCAACACCACAGGATGGTTGGGAAATACTCACACAAAAATCCAGGATGGTCGAACATAGTCAACACATCGTCCCCACTGTTTTTCTAGACTATTTCTGAGCACTCCTCCTGTAGAGTCAAGTCGGGCCTGTCCCCCTACAGGAGGAGTTTCGACGAAAAATAAAAAATGCTCAACAATTGCTCCAAAAGGGCAAAAAAACACTAAACAAACAGTCCCCAGTTTTTGGACCATGTTTTGACTATTTTGGGGGTGCTGTTTGTTTTTCGTCGAGAATCCCCCCTGTAGGGGGACAGGCCCGACTTCACTGTAGAGGGACGCGCCCGACTGCAACGTGCTGCACGGAGGAAGGACACGAAAACCTGCAGAACCGCAGCCGTTCTCGAAGCACCCCGCGCGGGGACTCCGTGGCTCGGCGCGCGCCGCGGGGGGGGGCCACGCCCCGGCGACGCCGCCCAAGGGGGGGAGGGCACGGCGCAGAGCCGAGAGTCAGGTCGGGCACGTCCTCCTGCAGGCGGGTCTGGGGCGAGAAAGGCAAGACAGTCAGCAAAAACTGCCACCAAAAACCCAGAGATCCGACGCTCCAGAAAACTTGGAGCGGCGGGTCTTCGGCCGTTTTCAGCCTCCGGGGGCCCTCGCCAGGCCTCGGGGGCGTCAAAAAAACGGCTCAGGACGCAAAACCGGCCTTGGGGAAGTGGTCCGGACCTCCGGGGCCCACGCATCGAAAAGATTGGAGCAGCCGGATGTCTGGGAATAGTTAACAATAGCCGAGAAATCGTCTGCTGGTAATTTTTGTTGCTATGTCCGGACATTCCTCCTGTAAGGGTTCAGGCCCGACTGAAGCCAAGGGGTCCGCGCGGAGCTCGCTGCCGGCGGCCCGCGGGGCCCCCTGCCCCCCCCCCCCAGGGCCTGGTCGGCTGTCGCCGCGCGCGTACATGGCTCTGGAGACGGCGCCCGCCGAGTTGCTCCTCCCGCGCCGCCGCTCGCAGCGGGCATCCAAGAGCGAGGTAGGGGGAATAGGGTGGTACACGGTGTGGGTGTTTCACAGGCGCATTCGATCAGCTTGTGCTACTCCGCCAACCCCAAACGAACTAGAATGATATCCGTCAACGTTCCAGGAGGGAAGACGAAAAGTTTACTTACCACCCTATTACCCTGCTCTCGAGGTAGCCGCGCAGCAGCTCCGTGGGAGGCCTTCGCTGGTGCGGCTGAGACATGCTGGGCCAGACTGGAGCTCCGACGCGCGGCAGAATCGAATCGTGACGTGACTACCCCGCCGCCGTTAGTTTCTTACACCGCGTGCATCATACAATCCTGAGCGATCGGCGGCTTTTCGATCGCCAGATCGCTCCATACCCAGACCCCCGACGTCGTGATTTTTTCACAACGTCGACCCCCAGAGGTCTGGACCCCTTCCCCGGGACCGGGTTTTCGTCCTGAGTCGTTTCTTGACGGCCCCGAGGCCCCCCGGAGGCCGGAAATGGCCAAAAAACCTCCCGCCGTGATTTTTTCACAACGCGAGGAGGTCTGGGTATTGGCCGATTCTGGGCCACCGGCGGCATTCCGTCTTGAACGCCCGCGCTGCCGTCGCCGCTGCCGTCGACACGGCGCGAACCTGCCGTGTTCGACCACGGATCCCTTGTTGCAGAAAACCCCGCCCTCGGCAGTCTTCTTGCGGACTGCGGCGATCTGCTGGCGGTCTTCGGCGGCCTTCCTGCGCGGAGGCCGAAC